CAAGTCGCCTGTAAATTTGCGCATAGTGAAACGGTTCCGGAAGTCCTTGCAATTGAAATAATTAATTACTTCGACAACTTTAACATTTTAAAGCTAGTAAATCAGTAGCGCCCAAATAGTTTTTTTTTTTTGATAAATGTGACGGAATTGCAGATTTTTTCTGTGATTTGCTCGTTCCTGCAAATTAAGCGCATATGCAAGTTGGTCATATTTGCAGAACTGCAAATGTGCAGATGCAAATGTACTATTTTTTGGGCTTTTAGGGATTTTGGGCAGCAGAAAAAATTACAAATTAGGTTTGCTAGCATAACTTAAGCAAACAGACAAAAATTATTGATGAAAAAAATTAAATTTTTATTCACCTATTCAAATTTACAATCGCAGATCTGAAATATTTGGAATATAATTACTCACATGTTACAATAACTATTTCAATGAAAAAAGAGTTTGAAAATTTAAAGAGCATGGGGACAAAAATGGATCACCTGTACAACTTTTCGTTGTTATAGCCTAATTTGTATTTTCTGAAAAAAAAGCCTAAAACAGAATATTCTCGCACAATGAATTCCAAATATAAAAACAGTCCAACCCACACAAAAAAGTGTAATTTTTCATTAAAAAAAGTAGTTTTTCAATTATTCAATTAAATATCAATCAGCGGCACGCAGCTCTGGAGTATCGTGCAATCGTGTCGTCCTACTGTTGTTAAAATAATTTTACTATCTTAGCCCCCATCTCCAGATAAACTTCAAGGTAACTATCTGCAAGATAAACTTATCGGTTGGCGGGCAACTGATGGCGGACCAATGAGATTACAGATTGGGTCGGACTGCATACCTGACAGCTGGTGAATGGTCGGAACGTGCCTTTAGCTGATATTTAATTATGAAATTATTCAATGATGTATACCTAGGCTACGATGCTGATAATAGGAAAAATGTTTGAACAATGAGAGAAAAGCTTTTATTCATAGAATTCAATTAATGTCTCGCGTCTCATATGGGACTAGTTTCTGTTTACGTCGTCGGTTTGATTTGGAAATCAATTTTCTATATCACAGTTAATTTGCTCAACTGCTGTTGGTTTTAAATATAAAGGTCTCATGTTGCACATACCAGTTCAAAACTTCAGCTTGATGTTTCAAATTTTAAAAGCAGAGAACTCTTTCAACAAATTGACTGTGGTAAATTATAATAATAACTAGCGTTGCCAGCGTGAAAATACATTTTGAAAAAATACACTGTTTTTCAATTTTTTTTAAATCCGATACCAGAGTCGCTTGCCAGTGAGTTCAGTGACGCATTTTAAGCACTCCAGAGCTGCTCTAGAGCGCCCCGGGCTGTTTATAGGCGTTCCAGTGTACCAGAGTTTCGCGCAACTGAACTTTTTTTTTCAGGATAAAAAATAGCTTATATCACTCCCCTCTATAGCCGAATTGGATTGACCGGATTAGATCGATCTGGTTCAATTTAAGTGAACCACACTGTGTTCGATTGAGGTTGGATCAGTGCACCCTCACCAACAAAAAAATGATCTAGATCAGAAGAAGTTCAATTAAATTGAACCCAAATCGATCTAATCTAGGTCAATCAAATTCGGCTTATATAGATATACGTGGTATTAAATTCAAGATCGGTCCAGCTGTTCTCGAATTCAAAAAATAATAAAGTTACGTCGGTTGAATGCGCAAGCCTAAAAAAATTAAATGTGGCAACGTTGTTTCATGTTGTCAAAAAAAGTTGGGTTATGTTGTTATGTAATGTGAATGAGTTTGTTTAAAATTAAATTATTAATTAATTCAAAATTAATTTCTGTTTCCGAGATGCGTAACCTATCCACAAACCTTCCTTGGGATGGCCATAACAACTTACCAAAGTTTCATCGTAATCGGATAAGTAGTGTAGGAGCGCATAAAGCCCAAACAAACAAACATTGATTTTCATATATATAGATATAATAATAAATGCTTTCATTTAGAATAAATAACACAAAATTTACAATATCTAATATTTGAGGGGTGGCGGTATCCAGCTGCTCATACAACCACCAATATTAAATAGACATGTGAAACGAAATAATCGGAAGATTAACATCAAACCAATCAGAACGGCTTGTGGTGCCTAATTGGACTTTTCTTTATTTTGTTTGTAAAATTCGAAACACTGTCTATACATCGAAGTGAGGCAGTGTTTTTTCAAATATGTTTTTCTTGAAAATGTTTTTCCACAGTTTAGGCAACAACTCGCAGTTCTATTATGGCAATCTTTGTACTTATGGGATTTAAGGGCTACCATTGATGAGTATTGTTTCAAGCAGCTATCACATTTGAATGGTTTCTCTGGAACACAAAGTTTATTTTCCACTTTAACATTCCAAGAAAAAAAAATACTATCTATGCATCTAGGTATATATTTTTTTTTACAAACATTTAACTATTATAATTTTATTAGGTTAGTAGGTAAAACTACTGCAAAATAAATAAGTCAATAAATAAATAAATAAAATTGAAAATAAATAAAATTTGGTAGGATTGACTAGTATACATTCCATTGTAAAGTCTTAAGCCTAATTTAGACACAAAAATACTTGCAGCGAAAGTTAACCAACAAGAGAGAACAAGTTAAAATGTTATAAAAACACACAATAATTATTTTCATTTCCCTAATTGCCTTGAGATATAGTTACGTCACTTTCACCATCATCAGACTGGTTCCAACTACTATTATATAAATACTGATGGCCTTTAATATGGTTATTAAGCACATAAGCCCTTCTGGCTCTATAAGGACAATATGGACATTTCAACTCCGGTTCTACGCCGCATTCTTGCCTAATATGACGACTGAGAGTTTTCTTATGATGATAGTTTTTACCACATTTTGGACACACGAAAATTATAGATAATCCATGGGATCCTTCTCCATTTCTATCTAAAATTAATAAGAATTTGTATTATTTAGTAAGTAGTTGATAAATGGAGACACAATGTAGTTACATACTTACAATATCAACAACAAAAAATGGAAAACCATGCTAAAGAAATTCAAGCAAAAATACACGACAGCAAGCCTGACAAAGCTAAAAAAAGCAAAAATAATATGAAATATTTCTAGATAAAAATACAACAATGATAAAAATATTTAAAAATGGGTTGGTTGACTTTTTTTTAAACTTTAAAAATATATAAACAGAAGTTATGCTGACACGAAAATGATACTATACCTACCAGAAAAAAAAACATAATTTTTGTGTCTTAGGAATAAAAAAGGAGTCAAACATCTGCCTCAAGTATAAGCATTTACTTTACTTTCAACTACATACAAAAATAAAACTGTTATAAACTAGCAGGGACATAGTCTGCAAACCCATACGTCGTTTTTATTGATCGTCCCCTTGAATGAATAATAATCGAGCAGCAAATTATCCATCGATTGAACCAGAAAAGAACAAAATGCTGACAATGAACTGGAAATCGTACGTGGCTGGCTATAAAATATACAACGACCTGGATGACAATATATTTTCAGTTTTGGTCAAAGTGTGAAGGGGTACCTACTGACTTCAACGGGATTCGTTATGCTTGCGAGGCAGACTGCATCACTCTAATATTGGAGAATCCAGATAGGATAAGTCTATATTAAGCTGTTGTTTCACTATGGAGTCAAATATAGGACGTTGGCCACGAAAAAGAGATCATTATTTTTGGATTAACTGTAGTAGAGACTTCGAAATATGGTGCGCGATGCGACCTGTGAGCTTCCAAGGAAGGACGCAATCTCGAGGAAAAATGAATCCCCACGTCATGGTGGACTTTTTTCCATAATGGCCAGAAGTAGTTACAATTTCCAATCAAAGGCGGTTACAATTGCTGAAGCATTACAGGAAAGCATAATAGCCAGAGACGGGGTCCGATTAGGCAAGAGATTTTGGGAATAAGGAAAACCAGAACGACTATAATTCATCTACAACAACTCTCGATGTTTGTGGATAAACACCATGAAGACTAGTATAAAGTGCTGCCTTTTTTCCTCTTGGCTTATAGAAGCTCTCAGCGCGAATCCATCGGCTAATATACATCCTCAATGGTATCGATGACGACGAAGCTAGATTTGGCAAAAAATAGACTACGTCTTAACAGTGATAGAATGAGATGAGACTTGACAAACGAAGGTCAGAGAACATGCAATAAAGGCGACGCCATATGGTTGCATCAGCTACAGTGGAGGAACAACAAAAAACGTGGGAAGGACCATATACAAGATTGTCAAGATGATCATGGAGTTGGTGTACAGATTTCAACTTCCAAGGAAAGCCAAGCTGAAGGTCGTACACCTAGGGAACCCTGTATGCACGGTGACTGAAATATTCAACGCGTTTGCTCTTGAAAGAATAATCGAGCCGACGAATTCGAACCACATATTTGTAGTATCGAATTCTCTGGGCAATTGGTGATGGTTCTGGAACGCGCCCTCAACATCAAGAGGTCCAGTTGTTGACTTTTTTTCAAGAACTGGCGAATTAATAGGAAGTTTTGATTCCACTCAACAATTCGTGCATTTGATCGGCCAACAGTCCAGTTTGCCAGATTCTGTCGAGAGACAGGGATTTTTGGATATTTAGGAATATTATTGATCTTTGAATCTAGATTTTGACAAGCCTGGAAAGCTGAAGTTTGATACCATAATAATTGTTACCACAAGCAATGTCATGCAATGTCTTTGAGGCATTGTTCGGTTATTTTGACGATTGGAAAAAAAGAAAAGCTTTGGGCTAGTAATTTCCCACTAACTTGGATAGGACTTAACGCATTCAAGATTTTTCAATAATATGGTATTGGTAGTTTTTGACAAAGTTCCCAGTAAGAAGATCAATCTTTTAGGATTCATGAAAATTAGAAAAAAAGTAAATATAAATATCAGTGCGGAAATGCTTCATATTCGTGCTACTCGATCTTGGGATTTGGTATAGCAAATTCGGTTTTTCATTAAAAAACAAAATTCTTGATGTAAAATATTATTTATCTAATATTTTATAGCCCGTCTTACTAACAAACACAATATTGCTTCTCAAAATAGAATGCACTCTTCCTAAATGGTAAATAAGATGCATCTTCCTTTTGCACTTTTTGCCACAAATGGTGCACTCAAACATGGCCTCTACTCCACACTCGTAGGTCATATGATTATACAGGGAGGCTTTATGTTTATACCCATGGCAACAGTTAGGACAGCGTAAAGGCGCATCTTCAAAAAAATATATATGATATAATTAAATATAAAACTTAAAAAATTTGTTAAATACTAATAAGAATAATAATAATTTACTAAACAGTCAGCAATATAGTGAAGCAAAATACCTCCCATTTAAATCTTTAACCTTTAACATAATTGTGCAGTAGACATGAAATTACTGAACCTACTGGAAATACCAGACTAACGTATCTAATAGTATTTGATAAATAAATATATTCTATAATAGGACAAAAAAATAGAAAAGGAAGGACTCATTATGGAGTTAAATGAGAAAAACAAATCCTAAGCAACTATGTTTACCTAAACTTTTTCTAGAAGCATAAAGTGACAGTTCGATGGGTTTCATTCCAATTGGTTACTCGTAATTAATCAAGCAGCTCACTAGCTGAATGATTTTTTTTTGAAATCCTTACAAGGAGATGAAATAGATATATTGTATTTTTAACCATTATTGATTTATGCGAATGTTGCAAATTTCATGGCACAAAATAGAATGTGAAAATTCTCTGCGTATTTTCAACGTTATCCTGGTTCAGTAACCTAAAAATAAAAAAAAGAGTAAACAGTGAATCAGTGCTACTAGTCCAGTATCCAGTGAATATTAGTACATGGGTTTTCCAAAAAATTTCAAAGAGAGCAGGCTGATTTTTTCAGAGCTGATTGGAGATTGTGTCCTGAGTATTGAACCAAAAAAACACACTCCTATTGGTCTTTTTCTTATTTTTTTTTTTTCGACAAAATGACATTATTAAAAGTTTTAGATAATTACATTCTGATCAACTCTGCCTCATGACTTTTTTCGCTAGCTATTTTAGTTTAGGCACTGCGAGTATTTTAGTGCTTCAGAATTCGGAAAAAAATACCTATTTATTTATAGCAAACCTGTAGATTATTTTACAGGGTCTGTTCCTTATAATTAGTGCGGCTTCTACAGCTTAATTTTTTATTTTTTTTATTTTTATGTACAAAAGTTGTATGGTTTTATAGTATTTTTAATTGCAAGTGAAACACCAAAAAAACATCTAGTCGGCATACATCAAACAAATATAAGACATGAGCGTCCCATATTTTGTATTTCTTTCAATGGTAATAATCAGTATCAAACAACACAACTAAATAATACGTGGAATAAAACAGCAAAAAATATATGAATTGGGATGACACTGGTTATAGAAGTCCCCTAGTCTAGTCAGCCAGGCACCTGCATTCTTATCGGGGAGACGTAAGTAGCCCACCCCAATAATTCAACCTATAAGCGCGTGGCGACCTACATTATTATTTTGGGCTACTGTAGCGATATTTCCACGCTGCTTATATTTTGTACAGGGCAACTTACAATAGATTTTCTATGAAATTAATAGAAGAGAGCGACGTGATATTGAAATATCCTCGTATAATACAGTGTTTCAGGTCCAAATAAAAATACTATACCTCTATTATCTTTTGTACGTGTCAAAACCGGCAAATGACAGGTGCCAACTGTTATAATGACACACACATGCATTTTTTTAAAGGAACATCTTGTATATTTTTGGTTAGAATGATTGATTTTTGTCTCACCATGGCCTCATCATTGATATAACGAACCGGGAACAGACCTGTTTAATCTGAATGCATTTTTAAACTCAAATAGCGTAGAAACAGCTAAACCAAATATCAACATATGGTATATTTGGAATCAGTAATGTAATTATCTGCAGCTTTTATTACGGTGATTTTGTCGAAAAAATAAATAAGTAAATAAATAAATAAGAAAAAGACCAATAGGGCCGAACGCACAAGGCTTTCGAGTGTGATTTTTTGGCTCAATAATCAGGACACAGTCTCCAATCAGCTTTAAAAAAATCAGCCTGCCCTCGTTAATTTTTTTTTTAAAAAAACCCATATATTTACTGGAATATAGCCTCAACAGCCCATACTTTATCCAAAGAATCCATAGAAAAAGTTCTTTTTTTTTTTCAAAGTTAGTTGAAATGTTGAATTTGTTTATTCTGTTTCTAAACACTCTGTTAATCAATTTGAAGGGATCATTCTTAATTTTCAAAGTGTCTTCCGCTTTTTCAATTACGGTTCTACGGTATTCGAAATCCGTTTATTGGATTTCCCGATTTATCAAGCCTGCTATGACCGATTTTTCTCCGACACACTAGATGACTTGACCTGAAATTATACCGCCATTTGTGTCATTACTGTATTTGGCAGCCACAGCATTTGGTTGTACGCTTAAATTCGATATGGTTGTTACCCTTGTGATAAAACCCATTGTGATAGTTATAATAAAATACTTCTCCATAAGATATTGCAAGCTTTATTGATGACAACAAATTTGTTACATCCCCAAATAAATGAAAGTTATCTCAAGTTATTTTCCTATCGCAACACCCATGTACTGAAATCAAATGCCTTCTAAGATTATCTTTTCTTTTGCTGCAGTAAGGGCAAAGGTGACATCGGAAATCCTTACCTTTGAGACATTCATAACGTCTATGATTATAAAGAGAACTTTTGGATTTGTAGGCTTTCTCACAAGCAGGGCATCGATGAATTGCTAAAAGAAAAAAAATCGATGATACAGTGATAATTTGTAGATGGCTTACTAGCCAGGACGGGTCTTCTACTTCTAATACAATAACAGCTAGTGTTTCTAATAATAATAATGATAATATAAATAAAATATAGGTCCCTCATATCTGATTTCGATTAGAACAGTTTATTCAAAACATAATTACGAACATTATAGGCATAAGCTATCCAGAACCGACTGCCATTAAGGACAAGCTGAAGTTAAAAGTGTCAAACATCATCTAAGACGAGTTTTAGCAAACGGAAGTCTTTTATTTGAAAAGTTCATAACAGTTTTATGTCAAATAGAAGCAATCTTGAATTCACGTCCACTTTGTCCTCTTTCCTCTGATCCCAAGGATCTTACGTCTCTTACGGCTCACTTCCTTATTGGACGAATGCTTGGCTCAATATCAGATGAAGCCCTAGAAAGTTCCAGTTACTTCAGAAGATTTTTCAACATTCCTGGAGACGGTGAAAACCAGATTATACATTATTTGAGCTCCAGCAAAGACAAAAATGGAAGTCTAGTCATGGTCAATCCCAAGAAGGCAGTTTAGTTCTTATTAGGGAAGAAAATACTTTCCCTACTAAATGGAGACTGGGTCGTATTGTTTGTCTGCATCCGGGGATCTGATGGTGTTAGTAGAATTGCATCAATAAAAACTAGTTATAGTTTCTCCAAGATCTGTCCACTTCAAATTGATAGTTGAAAGAGTCAGCCCTTTCAGAGTATGTTTAGGATATACGCCTTTTCCGATCGTCCCTGTTCCTGACGTCAATGTTCTATATCTCCGAATATACCTACCTGTTCCTGACGTCAATCTAGATCCAGTTATGCCATGAAAACAAAAGAAGGTACATGTCGCCAAGGAGCTGTTTGGAAATTGTCGGTAATACCATACATTATATAGAATCATCACGTTTTGTTGCTCCATTTGCAATAAAATCCAGTACAAATTTAAATACACTCCACTAGCAAATCGTAACCAGTCTCCTTGTAATTTTTTAGTCAGCTTTTTCATATAAAAAAACCTATAGAAATTAGTTTTTATTTCTTTTCCGTTTGTCATTTGTTATTTTTTTGTCATAAACATTTTTTTTTATTGTACTCGCTATGAAGAATTAAAAAAAGCAAAATCAGACCAACGATGAAAATATTACCGTTTAAAGAAATCGCGCTGGCGGCCATGTTTTTCAAAATGGCGACTTTAGCTCACATGAGATTTTTTGGGACTTTTGAATTTTCATTCTACACTAAAAGAGCTATGGATTACCGTTTTAAAATAAATGTTCGGAAACACTTCACTCAAAAATTGAGACTTGCCTGGTGTAATTGAATTTTTTCCGAATCCTGAAGCCTAAAATGGTCGCAGCGCCTAAACTAAAATAGCTGGCAAAAAAGGTCATGAGGCAAAGTCGATCAGAATGTAATTATCTACAGCTTTTATTGAAGTCATTTTGTCTAAAAAAAAATAAATAAGAAAAAGGCCAATAGGGCCGAACGCACAAGGTTATCTAATGTGATTTTTTTGGCTCAATACTCAGGACACAGTCTTCAATCAGCTCTTAAAAAATCAGCCTGTACTCGTAATTTGCTTTAAAAAACCCATATATTCACTGGATTATACCCTTCAACAGCCCATACCTTATCCAAAGAATCCATAGATTTTTTATTTTTTTTCAGTTAGTTGAAATGTTAAATTTGTTTATTCTGTTTCTAAACACTCTGTGAATCAATTTGGAGGGATCATTGTTAATTTTCAAAGCGTCTTCCGCTTTTTTAATCACGGTTCTACGGTATTTGAAATCCGTTAATTGGATTTCCCGACTTACCAATCCTACTATGATCGATTTTTCTCCGACACACTAGATGACTTGACCTAAAATTATACCCCCATTTGTGTCATTACGGTATTTGGCGGCCACAGCATTTGGTTGTACGCTCAAATTCGATATAGTTGTTATCTTGTAACCAAAATTTCATCTGCATTCTGATAGTTATAGTAAAATACGTCTCCATTAGATATTGCTAGCTTTATTGATGACAACAAATCTGTAACAACCCCAAATAAATGAAAGTTAACTCAAGTTATTTTCCTATCGCAACACCCATGTACTGAAATTAAATGCCTTCTGAGATTTTCTTTTCTTTTGCTGCAGTAAGTGCAAAGGTGACATCGGAAATCCCTACCTTTGAGACATTCATACCGTCTATGATTATAGAGAGATCCTCTGTATTTGTAGGCTTTTTCACAATCAGGGCATCGATGAATTGCTAAAAAAAAAATAGTTGATACAGTGATAATTTGTAGATGGCTAAAACTAGTAAGCAAGGACGAGTCTTCTACTTCTGATGAAATGACAGCTAGTGTTTCTAATAATAATAAAAATAAACCATAAAGGTCTCTCATATCTGATTTCGATTAGAACACTTTCCCCAAAATATAATTACGAGTATTATAGGCATAAGCTATCCAGAACCGACTGCCATTAAGGACAATAACAATATACGTTTAATACTTATCTGATCGAATCCATGTTTTGAGAATATTCTGTTTTGAATGGTGACGGTTGTGGTTATTTGGGGCAACTATTATTCTAAAACATCAAAAAGCGAGTTCATTTTATTTATAATTGGAGTATATTTTTTTACCTTGACTGCTCGCGCGGGGTTGGTGAGCGTCCAATGGGAGGCGAACTTGTCAAGTGCTTGCGCAATGAACTATCGCTTTTTTAATGGGTATGATGTTCGACTTGTATTGTCTTCATTTGTTCTGCAACAATACAATCTGGCTAGACTGCAGCCCACTAGTTGCCCGAGCATGTCGTGTTTTATTACTTTCTAGCTTGTATCCATTACAATTAAGCTATCTTTTTTTTTTATTTATGCGACACAGGTCAATTGGGTTAGGCTAGACCACGTTTGGAATCATATAATAATACAACATCCAATATTTAGGCTAAAGAGCCAAAATATATAAATGTATAATTGTGTGTTGCAAAATATAATAAAAACAAAAATCACAAACAAAACAATACCTTATTAAAATTAGATAATCATCCAAAATTATTTTTAGTCTAAAAAACAATTCAAATTTTTCCAGAATTATTTTCAACAAAATACCTACGGAATATAAATCACAAACCAATATACCTACTTCATAAGTGTGACGTCAGAAATCGACAACCTGTATCTTAACAAAATTTGAGTCCGTTTCAATTTACACTTCACTCTAACATTGTAATGCTTTCTTCTACAAAACAAAACCAGTGCTATTTAGACTTAAATGCGTTTTCATTTTTCAAAATACACTAATTCGACTAGATTATAGAAGTAAGGATATGTTAAAACATTGCTTTTACGAAATTTCAAGTTTATAATCAATTTTTCCTCCCTAAAGAAAAATAAAGGTATCAAAATTATACTTATCTTCAAACAAAATTAGGAATCCCGTCAATTTCAAAAAAATTCACAAAAACAGTCGGTCGTATGAATATGGAATAGCAAATGCTTTTACTCTACCTCTGTCTCTTTCTGCTGCAATAAAGCTGAATATGTTTGTCGGTAGGGTTATTTGCCCTCGGGAGTAGTGGTTTCCTGGTTTCTGTCTAATCAACATGAAACATGGTGGTTAAAGTTTTGAATTAAAATTTCAATAAAAATATCGGGCTTTAGTAAGCTCATTCTTCAAATAGTAAGAGAGTTTTAAAATCATTCATAATAGCAACTTTTTCAAGTTATTTCAATTGGGTGAGTGTATTGAAACTTACACTGGAAATTTTCAGACAACCATGTTTTCTTCAACATTATTTTTTTGAAATCTGTAGGTCTTGATCAGTGGACACACAATAAGACACCAAAAGACTGTTTATTGTACAATAAATCTATCTCACAATTCGATTTATTTTTAACTAGCTACGACTAATATTTTCACTTTCGAAGTTAGTGATTATCTTCAAATTAAAAATATTATGATACTTTTTCAGATGATTAACAAGCAAATATTTCCGAATAGTTTTGAATGAACATTCGGGCATGTTGCACGAAAACGGTTTCCTATTGCACTCGTATTTTTCATGTCTGGACCAAGAGCCTTTGATCAGATATCTTTTGCCACATAGTCTGCAGCAGTAGAAGCCTAGAGAAAGAAAAAAAAAATCCATGAAACAAATTTCTTTAAGGCTTACGCTTATAGACATCAACTATTTTGAAAAAATAAACAATGTCTTAATATTTAAAAGTGTTCACAATTTTTGTCAGGGTTTCTCTCCTTGATCGCGATAATGTACAGCTTCACAATGGTTTTTTATATTTTCCTTTCTATTGGATTTGAAATCGCATCCTGAAACTCCGCAAAAAAAGTTTTTGAAGTTGCCACAATCATATCTTCTGTGTTTATATAAAGAATTTTTTTTGCTATATGTTTTCGGACATTTTGGACATTTGAAGCCTGAAATATAAAAAATATGTCAGCTAGTATAGGTATTCGTGTGTAATAAGATTGAAAAATGTAAACTACAATAATACTTATCTATACCACTATAAT